GAGAGAGAAAAATTAGGGTTGAAAATGAATTAGATTTTGGATATATTTATGGTTTGATATTTAAAATAAAATACCTGAAAAGTGAATAAAAAACGTACAAACCTGATTTTTAAAAACCATTCTTTAAACACCTGATTTTTTATAATTTCTCTTGTAATTAAGTAATGGTTAGGTATATGTTTTTGGGTTAGGCTGGCACTTTGTAGGTTGAGTAAGTATATGGGCCCGGACTAGTTTGAGGGAAGGGAAAAATTCATAATTAAGTTATTTTCACCCATTTCAAGTTTAAGAACTTAAGTTTAAAATTTCAAATTTCAGATATTTTAAAATTTTATTTATAAATTAATTAATTAAACATATATTTTATTAACTAAATATATTAATGTCACAATTCCATATAATTTGGTCACAAATTATATCCCAGTCACAATAAAAAAATTTATAGATCACAATTTTTTCATTGGTCACAAATTTATAAAATTAATAAGTCGTGAATTATTCATTGCTCACAAATCACAAATTTTATATATCACAAATTATTTTAATGTGACAATTCAAAAATTTTATAAGTCACAATTTATTCATCGGTCACAAATCAAAAATTGAAACGTCACAATTTATTTATAGGTCACAAGTCACAAATTAACAATTTTTTAGGTTAAACATTATTTTTTGGTCACAATATATCTTTTTCATTTGTCACAATTTGTTTATCTGTCACATTAATCAATTTAATAGTCACAAACAACCAAATAATCTCTGACTACCACCAACACTTGTGACTACCACCTCACCAAGCATGGCAACCGAAACTCCGTTGCCGGAACCACCACCCCCATCCTACAACCCAAAAAAATTCCCAACCCTACCATCATCGCCGCTGACCACCTTCAACAAATTTTCAACTTCAAATCCACCAACACCGCCACTTCGTCACCACAACCACCAACAAAACCACCATCACCCACCGCACCAACAAGATCCAACACTGTCGCTCAAACACCATCACCAGAAACCACCGCCGCCAACATTATCCAATATTGTCGCCTAAACACCAAATCACAAGCAACAAAATTGCCGCCCAAACAACCCCAAAATCGCCATCACCACCACAACCACCGCCACTAACAAGCTCCAAGAAAACCAGCGCCACAGCAGCCCAAAAAAACCAACAAATCGAATCCACAAACGCCACCACCCGAACCAAAACACCGCTAGTTGTGTGCATCATACTCAGATCAAATCCACCAATTAATCGGCCATGGCAACGGTGCCGCTTCAAGCGGCACACAACGACAGTGACAGGATCCTCCGCGCATTTGTTGGGGGAAGAACAACGACCATGTGATAGAAGAGAGAGAGTAGCGATCGTATAGTGGTGTTATCGGACGATGACGGTGGTGGGTTGGTAGAGAGGAGAGGCAGAGGGTTGAAATTTGTTTCAGGGTTTGGGGTGGATTAGTTTACATTTTAAATATTAATAATAATAATATTTTAAATTTTAATTATCATCTTATTTTTGAAATAAAAACTTGTAAATCTAAATTTTGAAATTGAAAGTTGAAAATTCTGGTATTGTGTAATTTCCACTTGAGGAAATTGGAATTGGAATTGGGTGTCATTAAACAAAGAAAAGGCACCTGCAATTTGTGTTTTTATTTTCTTTATGAACTGAGAATAATGAAAGGAAACAAACTATAATACCCTAAATCAAAGATTTTGCACCGCCGATGAACAGTTTCGTTTTGAACGAAAAAGAAAAATTTTCTTCTACATTTTACTAAACTAAAACTAAAGCAGGTAAAAAAATTCTCTTGCATACTAATTCGTTCCCTTCAGTTGCTGCTGCCAAGTATTGAAGGACTGGTGTTATAGACTTATGTTGGTTTAGGCTTGTGGTTCAACGTTCTATGGTTGTTGGGGATGGCATTGGCTAACTGATGGGTTAGGTTGATTGCATTTGGGTGTGGATTTTGATGACTGCTGGATTAAATTCTTGAGCTTCTATACATGTCGAAACTTCACGAAACTTGCTTGATCAAAGGAAAACAACTTGTTCCGATACTGAGTTGATGTAGGATGCAACGAAAAAGAACGAAACTTGTAATAGAAGGGCAAAGGGGAAGAAGAAGATAAAGATAAAGAGACAGAGAAAGAGAAGAAGAGGAGATACAAAGGGGAGAGGAATCAGACAAATGCAAGAGAAAAGACAGTAGCATTCAAGGTCAAAGTATTATTATGCATAGACCCTCTTTATACAGGGTTCACGTAACCTAATTTAAGTAGGAAAACAAGTAAAGATGTAATATAAAATCCTAAAAAACCTATAAAATTACACTAATTACTTTTCCTAAAATAAGTATTTTGAAAATCTTTCATATAATATATTTAGTAGGACCTACATAACATGTAGTTCGAATAAAAACCAAAATGATGAACATTCATGACCTTATCATCATGAGTTTTCTTTGCACTTTGCCAGATACCATTTACTCAATCCTTCTAAGGTGCAACTCATGTTGGACTTCAACAAATGCATAAAAACAACCAAGTTCGCATATCTAAGGAGTTAATGAAATAACATAAGACGATTTCTATATTTAGATTTAGGGCTTCTCATAAGATATCAAAGGAAATAAAAATGGAAGTACAGTTAGAAGAAAAAATAATGACAGCACATTGATGTATATAAATACTAGTAGCATGAAACATTTATCTCTATGTTCAAACTGAATTTGAGAATGTTGTCCCATAAAATGTTGGAATCAACAAACTACTTACAGATAGGATGTTCTTCAGCAGAGATGCAATATTTAATGCTATTGACAGGGTAATACCAGATAGCATGGCTATATAGTGGTAACTTGTTAATAATGGTATTGACAGAATCTGCACGCAGTATAAAATTACACCGCATTAGTCAAATTAGCAATTAGCATTGGTTGTTACATCTATCAAAAAAAACCGATTGCCTATACTAGATTTAATATCTCTACCAAGTTTCTAGAACTTACTCCAGCAATTCGTGAAACCAAGATAGGTCCAATAATCTTCTCAACAAGTGGATATAAGGAAGATTGGAAGACTAAAAGGCCTAAACCTGAAAGTCAACAGGCTGTAAGCAAACAAGAGAATCATCTTAATAGTTAGAGATACATGAAACTAAAGCATTTTCTTGAGAACACAAATATTTGATACTTTGATATTTTAGTTCAGCTTGACCAAATTAAGTAAAATTACATAGGAAGATCATAAAACGTCAGTCTTGAATGTCCAAAACTTTCACATGATTTTAATACTCATATAACATAGTATTATAGGTTCTTAGAGTTGCATAAGCATTAGTTAAAGAGATTGGGGAAATTGCAATCATCTCAACAAAACAATTTAATTGATAGTGGAACATCAGTAATTTGAATCTCCAATGCACATTGTCCATTTAACAAGATATGAGTGGAATTAAACCGAGGTTGAATCACGAATATTAAACACTTGAAGAGGGTATGACTAATTTGTTTATTAATTCATTTTCCTTTTTAACTTCGAATCTCTATTTGACTATATCCTCAGCATATTTAATTTGCATTTCACACCATATTGATTCCAGCAATTCCCTTCGCTGAAACCTTTCAATATTATCACAGACATTGTTAGAATTTGGGTGTGACCCAAATTCCTGGTTGAAGTAGTTGAAGAATTCTAATTAAAGTGCACGTCATGAAGAATTCAAATTTGAAATATTATTGAAATCCTATGTCATGTTGAAGTTTTATTTTGGAAGCTCATTGGGAGTTGGAATTTGTTTTGAACTCAATTTTATGGTATCCTACTTCATCAACAACTCTACTATGTAAGTTTTGACATCCCCTACTTATTCCTTATAAATACTAGGCTCTTCTATACAATTTTATAAGGTGAAAAAATAGATTACTAGAATTATAGGATTCATTGTAATTTTTTCTCTTCTCTATTATTCTTGAGTCAATAAAATCTCTTAATTCTTTTGACATATTCTTGTCTTCTTAATTCTTTTGCTTGATGAAATACTTAATTATTATTTTCCCTATAATTTCAACATCTCAATCTGGTGGTTTGTTCCACAACAATTGGTATCAGAGCTATTCTGGTATCTTGATTATTTAGCAACAATTGGTACCAGAGCGTCAGGTTCAACAATTCCGCAAGAGCGTAAGGTTTGATTTGTTCTAGGTTTTTATTCATGATGGCTTCCATAAAGTACGACATTCCGCTTTTGGATCGAAGCGCTAGATTTTCGCTATGGCATGTTAAGATACATGCAGTACACACAACTACATTTGGATGATGCGTTGCTGGGAATTGACAAGATGCCCGCAACTTTGACTTTGGTAGAAAAATTACGGAAAGATAAAAAGACAGTTTCTCACATTCATCTTCATCAATCAAATTCCATTCTTCCAGACGTTTTGAAGGAGAGGTCAACAACTGCTTTGTAGTTGAAGGAGCAATTATGCATGACCAAGAGTCTTACAAGCAAATTGCATTTCAAACAACGGTTATACTCTCATCTCGTGGTAGAAGGATCATTGGAAGATCACCTGGTTGTATTTAAGTAGATCGTCACTGATTTAGAAACTTTGGAAGTTAAGTATAACGAAGAAGGTTTGGCCTTGATCCTATTGTGTTCGTTGTCATTTCTCTTTCTTCATTTAGAGACACGATCTTATATAGTCATGATACTCTCACTATTGAGGAGGTTTATAATGCTTTGTTTTCAAAAGAGAAGATGAAGCATCTGATTTCTGAGGCTAGAGATGTAGAGGGTCTGGTTTCTCATGATAGTTCTAGAAAGGGCATAGTTGAAGTCTAGTAATCAAATTTGTAACTACTGCAAGAAGAAGGGACATTTAAAGAAGAATTGTTACAAATTGTAGAATAAAGAAATGATGGCTACAAGTAGATATTCAAATACTTCAGGCGAAGCAGACCTCATGGAAAATGTTGTAAGTGATGGGGAACTCTTACCTATTTCTGACATTGAGTCTAAACCGGAAGATGATTGAATTCTTGATTCAGCATGTGTATTTCATATGTGTCATAATAAGGACTTGTTTGCTACATATGAAACTATTTCCAAAGGTATCGTGGTTATGGAAAACAACGCATCTTATCGGGTTGTTGGAATGACACAGTCAGATTGAAACTTTTGGATGGGATAATTTGAACACTTGGCCAGGTTCGACATGTTCCAGATCTGAAGAAAAATCTCATCTCATTGTCTATTTTGATTCAAAAGGTTATGAATTCTTTGGTAGAGATTGAGCTTTGAAAGTTTGTAAGGGTGCCCAAGTTGTAATGGAGAGACAGAAAAGGTCTCGGTTATACATCTTATATGGTCGTGCAGAATTTAGAAGAGTCAATCAGCACAAGTTCAGGACCGTGGTGGACATTCAGTTTGGTACAATACCTTTAGGAGCTCATAAATGGTCGGATTTGAAGAATACAGTTCAGTGGAGTTCATGAGATATGGATAATGTCGCTTTGCCACCCTCACCTGCGGTGAGAAAAGGTCTCGGTTATACATCTTATATGGTCGTGCAGAATTTAGAAGAGTCAATCAGCACAGGTTCAGTACCGTGGTGGACATTCAGTTTGGTACAATACCTTTAGGAGCTCATAAAGGGTCAGATTTGAAGAATACAGTCAATGAAGTTAAGGAGATATGGAAAATGCCACTTTGCCACCATCACCTAAGGTCCCATTGTATTCAATTGCTAGGAACGGATCCAATGGAAAAGGGTATGTGGATGCTAATTTTGTTGAGCATGCTTTAAGTGGAGTAGAAAGTGTACAATCTAGCAAGGAGCCTTTTATAAAAGCATTTAGTATTGATTCTGCAGAGTAGTGCTTGGATTCATTGGAATCTGAGGTAATTCTGCAGAGTAATGCTTGAATTCATTGGAATAGTTGGAGTATTTTGTGCTTAGTTGATGAAATTAAGTTTTTGGTTATTGTTCAAGAAGCCAATTCATTTCTTAGTGGAATTCGTGTCAAGGTGGAGATTGTTAGAATTTGGGTGTGACCCAAATTCCTTGTTGAAGTAGTTAAAGAATTCTAATTGAAGTGCAGGTCATGAAGAATTCCAATTTGGAATATTATTGGAGTCCTATGTCATGTTGAAGTTCAATTTTGGAAGCTCATTGGGAGTTGGAATTTGTTTTGGACTCAATTTTATGGTATCCTATTTCATCAACAACTCTACTATGTGAGTTTTGACATCCCCTACTTATTCTCTATAAATACTAGGTTCTTCTATACAATTTTATAAGGTGGGAAAATAGATTACTAAAATTATAGGATCCATTATAATTTTCTCTCCTCCATTATTCTTGAGTCAATAAAATCTCTTAAATTCTCTGACATATTCTTGTCTTCTTTATTCTTTTGCTTGATGAAATACTTCATTATTATTTTCCATATAACTTTAACATCTCAATCCGATAGTTTGTTCCACAACAATTGGTATCAGAGCTAATCTGATATCTTGATTGTTTTACAACAGATATCTATTTAATATTGTGTTATTCATCAATCTAGAATGCTAGAGTTTTCTAGAATCAAACTGGAATTTAGGTCTCCAGAGTCCATTTTCTCACTTTCCCTGATATAACAAGAAACATATATATATCCAAATAATGAGGGAAAAAAGAGGAGGAGAAGAAGAAAAATACCTAGAAAGATCATAAACCTATATTTTTCTCAACTCAAAGAGAAAAAATACTTTCCAGTTCTACATTCATCAGCCAGAATGGACTGATCTCAAAGAATACAACATTGAAAATTAATATTAAACATACGGGAGAATGAAGAATAAATTATTCTTCAGGTTCCTGTGAGATCCATAATACCTGTTAACATATATACCACCATATATTGTGTAATAATAAATAATTGCATCATCATCAATTCCAAGATAACAAATATAAATCAAACAATAGTTAGAAATGATAGGGAGTTATATAGAGTGTTATCAACTTGGTAGATTTAGAGAGCATGTTAATGAAATCTTCTTATGAAGCCTACACCAACATATATTGTGCTAATCCGTGAAAATATTTGATATTTACAACACAAGTTTCCTTTTTATTAATCTGTTATCTTGGATCATGATGTCTCCATCATTTAAAGTATGTTTACTGATCCTAAAGAACAAGGGACCAAAAAACAGCATAATAAATGCTAAAAATGTCTAGCAAGCTGTGCTAAATCTAATAGAAATTGAACCTGAGATTGCAAGAACTACACCAACATCCTGAGTAGAATAACTTAACCCTCCAAGCCTTTTGGGACTCTCTGCCCACAATGAGAATATCTGTTGAAGCAAATAGGACAGTCATGACCTCACCTTTAACACAAATAGGGTTAACAGACAAAATAACACAGCATTGCATGATTTGTGATATAGTACCACTTAGTTGGAAGCTTAAACATAAAGTCCAACGTAAGACACTATTACAGAATTTGACATTTCATCTCTACATGGATGAAATTATGTGATTATTTTTAACCTGTATCATGTTTATGACTTATTTCCTCTTGATACTCTGAGTTGTTATTGTGTAATCCATTTATACTTCCTTTTCCCAGAATTTGACATTTCACATGGCCTAAAAATATTGTGTGTAAATTGAATATACATCTATTTTAAATTCAGAAAATTGGAAAGTAAAAAAAAATCATCATTTATCCTAAGTCCTCCATGATGGTACAAATTTTCAGGAGAAAGAGGTATTCTAACAACTATTATCTTAATAAATTATTATGGATCTCAAGGAAAATTAAGTAAAATTTTGTTGAATCACTTGATCTAAAAGTTTAAGCGGTTAAAGAAAGCCACAAGTAGGTGAGATTCATTTTTTCCCATCATAGCTGGACAGGTGCACAATTTTAATAAATATGTGGTGGCGAGATATGAATACAGGACCTTTGCTTGCTATGATACTATATTTATATCATTTAAAATTTGTTTTCAACAAAATTAGTATTATGGAAGAAAGCAAGGGAATTAAGCTTATATGAAAACAAATGTCAGTGGTCTTAAAGAAAATATATTAATAGTGTTTAATCATGCACATTATAGTTCATGTCCCCATGGCACTATTCTTTCCATAAATGCACTGTGTCTTGCATGAACGAAAATAACTTGGAAACAGAAAAGTGTCAATGAGATTATATTCCGATTGTAGTTACCAATTTAGGACAATTGTATACCATTTTGTACATTACCATATTAGGTTATTAGGTTAATTACATACCATATATGTACATATTTCGATTTCTATATAATGCAAGAATAATCCGAGAAGGAAAGGGCATTCAACCTAAAAACTCTTACTTGGTATCAGAGCTTACCCGTAAAATCCAAAATTGAATCTTTGATTTTCTGCCTTCAGTGTAGTCGGCGCTTCAATTTCTTCATCGGGGTTTTCAATTGTTTGGTTGTTTCTCAGATTGGGTATCTTGGTCGACCGATCGTTGGTCGACGCCTTTGTTGGTGCAGACCGCTGTCTTCGACTTGGCGGTGAGTTCGATTGTGGAGTGAGCGGGTAGTGACTTCCTCTTCATCCCCGACATTTCTGTAAGTGCGATCGACGCGTCTCTGTGGTGTCTTCTCCAACTCATCGCTGTGGAGTCTTGGTTCTGGTCTCTCTGTAGTCATGTTCTTTTGAGCTCATAGGTGCGGGTTGTGTATTTTAAGGCCCAATTGAGGAGGTTTGTTTGTTTGTTTGGGTATCGTGGGCTGCGTGGGCTATTCACTTTCAAGCCAAATTGTGGTGGTCTGTTTCTTTGTTTATGTGGAGTGGGCTTTCACAAGTCAGACCCAATTGCGGTTTCTTTTATTTATTTCGGATATTAATTTAGGTGTGTGGGTTGCTACATGTGATTGTCATCTTAAGTTTGGTGATTGTTTTGCAATCAGGCGGTATGTTGATTGACGATTTTTGCATTAAATTTACCGGAAAGAATTACCCTATATGGGAATTCCAATTCAAAATGTTCTTAAAAGGGAAGGAGCTTTGGGGCCATATTGATGGGTCATCTACAGTGCCTGAGGATGCTAAAGATCTTAGTGCGTGGGAAACTAAAGACGCTCGGATTATTTCTTGGATTTTGGGATCTATGAAAGCGCACATGGTGAATAATTTATGCTCTTTCACTACTGCTAAGGAAATGTGGGACTACTGTCATATTGCTCGCCATTGTCCTCAGAAACTCTGCAAGTAAAAGGGACATCTCATAAAGGATTGTCCTATACGACCTCAGCAACGAAACGCTCAGGCATTTCAAGTTAATGTGCATGGACCTCCTCCCACACTCTCTCCGACAAGTACTAGTCAACCGCTTCTTATCCCAGAAATGGTTCAACAGATGATTGTCACTGCCTTCTCTGCCTTGGGCTTACAAGGTAAGGGTCAAGTTGTCTCTTCTCCTTGGTTTGTTGATTCGGGGGCGTCAAATTATATGACAGGTAGTTCTACTTCATTGCATAATATCCGACAATATACTGGCACGTAACACATTCAAATTGCTAATGGCAGTACCCTTCCGATTACTCTTGTTGGTGATATTGGGTCTTCTTTTGATAATGTTTTTGTATCTCCGAGCTTATCTACTAACTTGATTTTGGTTGGCCAATTGGTTGATAATAACTGTGACATACATTTCTCTCGTGCTAGTTGTCTTGTGTACGATCAGAGGTCGGGAAGGTGATCGCGAAGGGACCTAAAGTCGAAAGATTGTTTCCATTACAATTTAATATTCCCACTATTTTGTCTTTAGCATGTATTGATATTAGCCTTAAGCATGAAATTTGGCATAAAAGACTAGGGCATCCGAATACTTTAATTTTGTCTCATTTGTTGAAGTATGGTTTTTTGGGTAATAAAGATGAGTCTCAGTTTTTCACATTTATCTTTCCAATGCGATGCTTGTAAACTTGGGAAAAGTAAGATTCTTCCATTTCCTACTCATGGCAGTCGTGCTAATAAATGTTTTAAGATTATTCATTGTGACGTTTGGGGAATGGCACCCGTCACTTCACATGCCCATTATAAGTATTTTGTGACGTTTATTGATGATTTCATTCGTTATACTTGGATATACTTTCTTCCTTCTAAAAGTGAAGTCGGTACTACACTTCGGACTTTTATTGCTTACATTGAGACACAATTTTCTTCCAGTATTCGAATTCTGAGATCCGACAACGGTGGTGAATATATGTCTCATCCGTGCCAGACATTTTTACAACAGAATTTCGCCTGCATGGCACACATCCTAGCTATGACATGTTGCATTCTTTTGGTTGTATATGTTTTGTTCATTTGCCTTCCCATGAACGTCATAAGCTTGCTGCTCAATCCGTACGGTGTACTTTCATGGGTTACAGTATTGCTCAAAAAGGTTTTGTTTGTTGTGATGGTGCTGTTAATCGCTTCCATATCTCTCGCAATGTGATTTTCATTGAGAATCAGAATTACTTTCAACATCTGCCATCTTCTGATTTAGCTCAGCTCATTAGCTTTGAGGATTCTTCTCGTCATATTGAGTGTTTTAAACCTAGTGTGATATATCAGAGACGACGAACTCCAACTTCATTGCCCCTTCCCAATACCGATCCTATCCTAGACTCTGATGCTCTTCGGCGATCCACTCACATTACTTGCCATCCTGTTCGATATGGTTTCTCTACAGCCTTATCTCATATTATAGTTACTAATTCTTATTCTCAGGTCGTTATCCAACCTTGTTGGAACAAGGCCATGCAAGAGGAACTTCAAGCTCTTCAAGAAAATCACACATTGGATATTGTCCCTTGTCCTTCCGAAATCAAGCCTATTGGGTGTAAATGGGTGTACTCTGTTAAGTTCCACTCTGATGGTTCACTTGACCGCTATAAGACTCGATTGGTGGCTCTTGGTAATCGTCAAGAATATAGGGTAGATTGTAAGGAGACTTTTGCATTTGTTGCCAAAATGACAATCATTCGCATCATTCTTGCTATAGCTGCCTCCAAGGGATGGTCTTTACAGCAGATGGATGTTAAGAATGTTTTCTTACATGGTGACATTAAGGAAGAGATTTATATGACGTCACCTGCAGGTCTCTTCTCTTTGCCCTCTTCCGACATGTGTAAGCTAAAACGCTCACTTTATGGATTGAAACAAGCCCCCCGCCATTGGTTTGACAAGTTTCGTTCCACTATTCTAGTTTCTCATTTATTCAGAGTCAATATGTTTCGTCTCTCTTTATTTCCAACACCGAGGCGGGTATGGTGCTTCTTCTTGTCTATGTGGATGATATAGTTATTACAAGGACTGACTCTAGATTGATATCTCATCTTCAAGACCGACTTAAGGATTCTTTTCATACGAAGGATCTGGGCCTTTAAAGTATGTCTTAGGTCTTGAGGTGCTTTCGAGTCTAGCCGGGACTTATCTACATCAATATAAGTATACAGATGAGTTGATTAGCTTACCTGGACTTCAGGATGGTAGATATGTTGATACTCCTTTGGAGGTGAATGTGAAATATCGCAAAGATGAGGGTGATCTTCTTCCTGATCCCTCTTTATATCGTCAATTGGTCGGTAGTTTAAATTATCTAACTATTAGACGACCAGATATCTCTTTTGCTGTCCAACAAGTTTGCCAGTTTATGCATGCTCCAAGACACCTTCACTTAGCCGCAATTCGTTGCATTATTCGATACTTACTGGGTACACCTAATCGGGGTCTTTTCTTTCCTGCCAATTCTACTCTTGAGCTGGTTGGTTATAGTGATGCTGATTAGGCCGAATGTGCACATACTCGTCACTCAATTACCGGATGGTGTATGTTTCTTGGGGGTGCCCTCATTTCTTGGCGAAGTAAGAAGCAAGATCGTGTATAAATCTTCCACTGAGTCTGAGTATCGTCCTAGGTCTGCTCTGAGATTGTTTGGCTTCGAGGTCTTCTCGCGGAGCTTAGTTGTCCTTAGCTTGGGCCTACTCCTCTTTATGCTGACAATACTAGTGTCATTCAAATTGCTAATAACCCAGTGTTTCATGAATGCACTCAGCACATTGAAGTGGATTGTCACTCTATACGTGAGGCTTATGATAGTCATCTTATTACTCTTCCCCATGTCACTGATGCTCAAACTACTAATTTGTTCACCAGGGCGATGACTCGACCACGTCATCAGTTTCTTGCAAGCAAATTGATGCTTCTTGATCGCCCCGCATCAATTTGAGGAGGGTTGTCAATGAGATTATATTCCGATTGTAGTTACCAATTTAGGACGATTGTATACCATTATTGTACATTACCATATTAGGTTATTAGGTTAATTACCTACCATATATGTACATAGTTCGATTTCTATATAATGCAAGAATTCGAGAATGGAAGGGCATTCAGTCTAAAAACTCTTACAAAAAGCAAAAAAAAAAAAGACAGCATAGTATATGCACATGCAAAAGTCGGAAACATGTTCCTATTTAGTTGAAGCAATGAATTTTTACTTCACAGTGAGTTAGAAGGGACCATAATGACTATTGAACTATTAAATGCTATCACATTACAGATTCATTCAATTGAACTGATTAGTAATCAGTAATCAATATAAAGATGCAGACCAGCTGAAAGCAAATTTAGACAACTGGATTGAGATATTTACTTTACCTCAGTGTAAGCCATATCATGAAGAGAGAAAACACAGTATACTATGATAGATGACATCAGGGGCCAGTTCTTGATGAGGCTTTCTTTAGAAGTTGTTACACTTCCTTCCTTCATGTCCGCTCTATCACTAGACCCTAGAGATGCACACTCCGGAGCATCGAATGAAACTTGAGATTTTATCCTCTCCGAGTTGTGTGTGTGCAAAGTTTCCTGCATTTCTTGGAATTTAGATCAAATATTCATGCAAAATTATGTGCAGAAAGGAATTTGAAAAAGGTGGTGATAAGATTTTTTCAGAAGATAAAAAGTGTGAGTGATTCTTGTGGGAAAAAAAACAACAAAAACAAGAAACAAGAAACATGTAAAATGAATATGATATAATGATGTTAAATTGAATGACATGTCTTAAATGGAGACAAGCAGAGCAAGGGTAAGCAACATACCGGGATCCAAACACAGGCAATAGCCACAATCAATGCAAAGAGTGATATAGTCAAGCATGGTAAGAAGTATGGGAATCTGCAGAAAGGCTCATGTGTAAGAGATATGAATACCAGAAAATGAAGATAATTATGCAAAAAGGTGATGCAAGGAGAAAATTACCTTCCAAATATAGAACCCGACGAAAATATAGCAGGAAATTTCTCTGCAGGCTTGATACAAATAGAAAAATTAAGAAAAGAGAAAAAGCCAAAAGTTATATGGAAGGTAAGTTAATGTTTCTATTTGAATCTCTTTGAAACCCAAAAGACAATTAACTCCTAATTTTTATCCTAAGAAATGTTTGATATATCAGAATGGACAACATTAGACAAGATTAATAAAAGGAGTTAAAAAATCTTGTATGTTGTTTTGTGCAATGTCGTCCAATATTGTGTATCAAAAGTGGAACTAAAGTCTTAGAAAAGTATATCCTCACTTTTTCCCTTTATGTTCAATTACATAAAATAAATTAAATTTATGGATAATTGCAGTGGCGGTCCCAAACCTTTCAACTTTTTGCAGATTTTACCCAAACTTTGATTTGTAGTAGAGTTGGTTCCAACTGTTTCAATCTTATGCGATGGAAGGACCTCTAGACAGTTTTTCGTCCAAAAATTTTTTTAGTAGAAAAAGTCAAGGGTCCGACCTTAATTTAACCTATTTTAAAAAGGACAAAATGGTAAAAATAATTAAATAAAAGTAACCAAAAAGAGAGAGAAGAAATTAAAATAATTTTCTTAATCTTTTATATCTTAATGGGGGTGGGCGTGAGGAAGGAGAATATTTCTTCTCTTTTTTTGGTTACTTTTATTTAATTATTTTTATTGTTTTATGCGGGATAATATAAAGCTACCGTGTTGCACTTTTTAAAATTGGTTAAATGAAGGTTAGACCCTTGACTTTTGCACAATTAACAAATTTTTGAATGGAAGCTATTCAGAGGTCCTTCCGTCGTTTAAGTTAGGAACCAAATCTGCCACAAATCAAATTTGAAAGGTTTGATGTCCATGGCTTTCTTCTTTGTATCTCTTTATATGGAATTTATATCTTGCTAGATTAATGAGCTCCCATTTTTTAACCATGGATTAAAAAGAAAAATGAAATGGAATAAAACTGTGATGACCACTAGTTACAATGCAAATCAGGAACAGAATTAATATTGACCACTGGATATGGTGCAAAATAGGCTATCTGGATTATAGTTTTTGTTGCTAATTTTACCAATAATCTTGATTATATATGGAGTTCATATAACTGTCAGCTCATATATAAAAGTACCTGAGCGAGGAATCCACCTAAAGCTGGCCCAACGATTAATCCCGTTCCCCATGCTGTACTAACCTGAAATAAAAAAAATTTAATTCTCAGAACCTGCGATGTGACATAACCTAGAAATAAAGGATGTGAGTATGATATTGCAATATATATTGAAGACAATCTATGAAAGATAAAGGTGATTTTATAACTGCAATCTGAACTGAGTGGGTTGGAAGGTTAACATCTTAAGCAAACTCACTAGGAATAAACTTTCTAATAAAGGTGATAATCGTAGTATTCTATTTTGTTAGAATAGAGAGGAGCATCTGAAAGGAATTGGAGGCACAGTTTACAGGTGCATTGCAAATATAACTTTTAGAATTGGTTCAAAGATGCAAAAAGATGAAAGTACTAACAGTTTGACCTGTCATGTTTGCTGACCTTACGCTTTCTTTCTTTCTTTGTCGCGATGATTCATCTGGAAGGGTGTTATTAACATGCTTGATTGGGAGGATTCATCGGCTAGAAGTATCTACCTAAAATGCATAATGATTACTTGTGAACTATTAATAGCAAATTGACATATGTTGCTGATTCTGATCTTATTTAATCAAAATAGGTGATTTCCCTATTTTGAATCACATGTCAAAATATGAAGTTCAAAAAAACTCAAGAATTTGCATCTTTTTTATCATATAAGTTGAACCATAGATTGAAATGATGATGGAATAAAAAAATCTCTAATATCAACCTAGAAAGGCGTATTATGGCCTAAGTCTCAGGATAGTTAGCCGAGCAACTGAACAGGAATGAAAACTATTGTGAAGTGGAAAATAAGTAGAAGTAGAAGTGATAGTAGGTTTCAGTAATATATGGTAGTCCAGTCCAGTCCAAATAAGGAGCATGATGAGGAAACAGATCTAACAACTGGTGCATGAAACAAAAAGGTGAGGGCAATATTTACAATTTGATTGACTGCAAATAGCTAGAAGGTGGTTATTAAACCATGTCATGTATATTGACGTGGCACGAGTTATTTTATAGTAGACAGAATGAAGGGCATGTAGCAGTACGAGGAAGGATATAAAAGAAAAAAGGTTATTGTGCCTTTTTTACCAGTGGATGCTTAAGTCGGTGAGGAATCTGAGCTGTTAAGAATTAAGAAATCCATCAAAACGTCAAGATTTTTAATCCACACAAATTTTGAGGGAAAGGTAGATAAATAACTTTTTGCATAGATTTGGCATTCCTCTAGCCTGGTTCCATTAGTTAGTCCCTTCCTAATAGCAGAATGCTTTACAATTATTGACCAGTATAGAGTATCAAATTAACAAGTTACTGCCAATACAAATGCCTACCGCTGATAGTCCAAGAGCTTGGTATTCTTCGTTAACTACTTCACATGCATATGCCTGATAATCGAGAAAAGCTAAAAGTTTAATATTCCAAATCCAAAAGAGAAAATAAAAACTAAACATAAGTAAGTTACTACCAATGAAATATAGTTTGCAAAAGAATCACATTTTGCATCCTATTCAACATGCTTTCAAAATGATTACATTAGAAAAAAGAATACCTTTATTGGTCCTAGTAAACCATGCAAAGTCCCAAGAAGAAACCTCATGGAAATGGCCATCCAAAAGTTTGTACTAAGCCCAAAGAGAGTGTTGAAAACGACTCTGAAAGTGAATAACTCACAAATTATTAGAACAAAATTGATCCCCAATAAGTCCTGTGACTTCCAAAATAAACATTTAAAAGAGAGACAAAAGAAAGTGATCACTGACACTGAGGCAGTGCCTATAATTATCACAGGTTTTCGACCATATCTGTCGGCAATGATTCCCCACATAATAGATGTCAAAGCTCTTCCAAGCATATAGGAGGCCCCTACATGAATTTAAGTCTCATTTGAGTATGAAAAAAATTGATAAGTCGACACATTAACGACATCACAGAATATGGAAATAAATAAATCTACCTATAAAACCAGCATAGAAACCAATGTCCTCTTCTCTTTTTGCAATGTGAAAATCCCTTACCTGCAAAAAATATTTACATTGTAATACCAATGAAAATAAAAAAAACAAGCATAGAAACCTACCAACAAATCTTTTCTTCAAACTTTTAGCAATATTTCTTGTTGACCAAAATTTTCTTCATCAACGAGTTAACAATACAGAGAAAGGCCTACTCAATTATACAACTCGAAAGATAGAGAATGATTAAGATTGGGAATATACAATATTTGAATTACGATGCATACAAGACCTTGTTACTAATGAGGACAAGTTGGGAGGGTCAGAATTAGGTATTGCTTTAACATGCAAATTTTTCAAACAGACAGCTCTAAAGCCCTACTGTTAGTCCTCATTAAGCAACTCCAAGAGACTTTCAAGTACTTACCATAAAATAAATGAATGGAAAGAGGGCTGATATTGTCAAAGCTGTAAAGGTGAAAGAACAGAAGAGGGCAAAAGATATGAGTACAAACAACTAAGATGGAAAATGAGTGCCAATAATCACTCTTGCTCATAGAAGTTGAATAACACAAGGTCCATGAAAAAAAAACAGTAGAACAATCATAAAATTCCATAATAGTTGCAAATATTTACTTAGACTACGACTATCATAAATTTACATTATACAAAGAAGGAAGAAAACTCAGTGATGGCAAACGATAAGATGTAACTTATGATGTCATTGTAGGGAAATGATGGCCAAAAACACTAAGACTTCTGTGTAACTAAAAATTAAATTGAATTACAAATTCACAAATATTAGTTCACAAGTGTATTTTTTACACTTATTCAGGGTCTAAAATATCGATATTTGATAATTCTTTTGACAAAATATATCTTAAATTGTTGTATTTTATGTTATATTAGTAAAACTCAATGATTAAACGAAAAAATTGAATAAACAAAAGAAAATCAATAACAAAGTCCAAAGTTTGAGGACCAAATTGTAAATATTCAATAGTTGATTTGACCACAAGACGACACTTTAAAATTGTTAGGAGACAATTGGATGGAATTAGAACTCAAAAAGGAATGGAATATGATCAAAATATGATCAAAATCAATTTTCAATCGCGTCGAACATTGAGACCATTTTTAGCATAGTAAATGTCCAAATTGGAAAATTTAAACTTCTAGAAAAGTTGTAACCCTTTGAGTTAACTTTTAAAGGCACTTTGAATCGCCTCAATTGGATACCAGGAGAGAAATTTATAACCAAAATACTGACTGCTGTACATAGACAAAAAAATCTGCGCGCGAAGACAACTTTTTTTATTTGATTAGAACTCTATTGGAAGTCAATTTGGATGTGATTTTCAATCAATTTTTTACTCCTACAAATACCTAACAACGGAATACATATTAGAGACCTCTTATATAAATATTATACTCCAATACTCATGAGGAAAATTCATAGTTTTTGTAAGAAAATTGAAGAGGACTTACAAGAATTCAATCAATTGAAAATTCAAACTTATTTTTGGGCAAAGAAGAAAAGGCGCATATGGAGATTCAAGATTTCAATATTCATCTTCTCAATTTATCAAAAATTCAGATAATATCTTTTCATTTAAATATGATTTCTTGTAAGTTTGATTTGTTAGGCTAATTTTATACATTCTAGGATGAGATGAACTCTTATTATGATATTTTTAGTTTTTAATTAATTATTTTGACTTTAAGTTGATTTGATTTGATTTGTGGATATTTATTATTGTTTTTATCGTTCTTTTCAATTACTTGATCACCAACTAAATTGTTAGTGAATTTTATTGTTATCGGGAGAGATAATAGGATTGAAGCACAATATAGCACTTGTCTAGTGGAGCTTTTTCTCCTTAATTATTAGCACTTCTTTAACCGTTTAAATGTCGGTGGGACCCAATGTGAGAACAAAAGCCAACAAAGATGGCTGGTTTTGGCTTGCAACGGTCCAAAAATTGATTTTTCTCCCCTGAAAAGCTGCTCCAAACAAGTCCATAATAAACATTTTAAGGTTCTATAAAAATATACCTCTATACTTTATGTGGTTTCAATAGGTGTTCTAGCACTTGTTAATGCATTTATCATGTTTGCATCTTTTATCGAGAGATAGAAGGATCACATGAGTAAATAAATTTGATCGCTATCAAGAGAGACTTTCAATTAAATTAGGAACATTGACCAACATGAATGATTTCAAATTGTCACTTTAATTGGTACACTAAAAATGGAATAACAATGGGGATTCGACATCTTAACAATGTATCTCACATATTTGAAAAACGCATTTACTTATTTTCATCAGTTTAATTGATAAGTTAGGTATTAGTATAGAAGAAATCACAAATTTTTTTTATTATTCGATTAAAGTTGCAATTAATTTTAATTCGATAAACACATAATTCTCGTGAGTTCGACACTCTATTCATCATTTATTATTTGACCACGATTCCGTGCACTGCAGGTTTTCAAAGGACCATTAGTCACTTGAAAGACTTTTAAAAAGGGTAATTATCAACATTTATGTGGAAGATACTCTGTATCCATTTATTTCTAACCTGTCTTCAACAAGAATAAATGTCTGAAAAGGAAATTTATTCTTGATTTGTTCATGAATGTTATAAATTTTCTATTCTATCCGAATGATTAAATATAGTGTGTGTTTAGTAGGGATTTTTTTGGGGGAAGAATTGATTTTGAATAGTGATATGATGGGAAATGTGTGGTTGAAAAAGAAGATAAGATTATTGATGTGATGGAAAATATTATTTTATTGAAGAATGTGTGGTTGAAAATGAGAATTGATTTACT